GAAGTTCCTCAACGTTCTCCTCGTCTGCTCCGGTCACTTCTTACGGCTGCACCTCGAGCTGCTCCTTGGGCTCCTCAGGTACGACGACTGGGCTCTCGGTTTGCGATCCTGTATGATGCGGTGCGTAAGTGCTTATGCAAAAGGTGCATCGGATGAAATGAACACAATGAATATGCTTGCATGCAAGGTAGATGAGCATGATTCGCTTTAATGGGGAGAGTATAATACAAATCTCATACAAGGTAGTCAACATCATCCAAGAACATGTACTACAAGCACATGTCATCTACTGCATTCTCTTCTACTACTAATATGCTAAGTCAACACATCTCATTGAATGCTTCAAAGATACACCAAAGCTTCACTAATTTCTTAATCATGCATAAAGCAACATTTGATTAAACCCTAATTAATAATAGGTTTGAATAGCAACATCTATTTTTATAGCATAGAAAAATCTTAGAAAATTACCATAGCACAGTACTACCCTAAGTAGTCTACCATCAAATTTTTATGGCATTTGGATAAGTGGAATAGCCTACACAAAAATGACAAACTTGGACCTAAATATGAGCATGAAAATACTTTGTATTATGAAAAGTGTCAAACAACAGATTTAGTATTTTTCCTAGGTTCTAAATAGTAAATAATCACTGTACAAAAATTATCACATGCATGTTTTATACAAATTTTGCTCTCTAGCAAAAATAACAAAAATCAGCCATTAAAGGCACTTGAACTACACCTCATATTTTTTCTATAGGACATGCATGGCATATATTTTTCCTAGAAAGTACATTACACAAGAAGAGTAACAAACTTGAAATCATATTTTTCTAATCTTTCTATGATTTATTATGCCTTTCTCAAGAAAAGAGCAATTTCAATGATTAAATAAAACTCCACAGAAAAGTGTCACCAAACTGACATGCAATATTTTTAAACCCTAGATCTAGTCATGAGGATCACAACAAAATTTATTTCACCATTTTTGGATCTACACAGCTCCACTTATCTATTTTCAAAGATGCACATGACAGCAGGACCCGCGAAACAGTAGACCCCACACGCCAGTGACACGAAACAGAGTAGCGGCGCTGTGCGACATGGCGCGGCCATGGCTCGTCGATGATGAGTTCGCCGGCGGTGACATCTACACGGGACGACCCTTATGACCTAACGCATCGATTGAACTACTTGGCTGGCCCTCTCATCGGCGCTAGCGATGACGGCGGCGACCATGGCGGCTCGGAGGAGCGGAACGGCGGCGGCACGCTGGAGGAGGCCATGGTGGCTCAACCTAAAGCTTGGACGAGCATCAATGAACTACGGTGAACCTAGCGCACAAGATTTCACGACCAGTGGTGGACGGGAATGGCGTGGCCACGACGACGGACTCGGCGGCGGGGCTCCGGCGAGCTTGTGCACGGTGCTGGAGCTTACCGAGCACAGTCAGCGGGCACGGGTGGATGCAGTGAGCTGCTGGGGTGGCGGTGGAGTGCTGCAGTGGTGGAGAAGCGGCGAGGGCGAGCTGGCTCCGGAGATGGCTACGGCGGCGCTCGGCGCGGAGGCGACTGCTGCTACAGGTGAGGAAGGAGAAAGCTAGAAAGTTGGAAATGAGGGCGTGGCTCAGTGCGGGCGGTGCTGGGGGCGTTAAAGGCGCGCTCTGGCCTCGCTCTGCCGCGCAGGGCAGGACACCGGCGACGCGCGGCCGTTGCTGGCCACCACGCGGCGCGCGAGCTCTGATCCGGTCGGCCACTGAACCGTTGCCTCCGTTCGATTCAGTCTGCAATGGTAATGCCTGACAGCGCGTTTTCGCGAGGCTCTATCTTTGTAACCGTGACGAATTAGCGCACACAATCTTCATCAAAGTCGTAGCCCTACATACCAGCTTCAATTCTTGTTCAATGAACTCGTGCTAATTCGCAACCAAAACCAAGTTACATCACCTCAAAGCTGGCGTGTCAGTGCTGTCAGTGGAGGCAGACTTAGCGAAAATTGCTAAGTGTTGAAAACAGTTATTTGTTGATTTTTGTGAGCTCAAAAAGACTAAGCTATGCACTTTATTATTTCCTGACCCAAAAGTAAAAGTTGTTCTCCATGACAAATACTACAACTTTGTTTTAGTGACCACGTACATGCATAGCCTCTATCATATGATTCAAACATGGTCAAACCTATTACATTCAAATAATGACTTGTTCATGAACTATGACTTAGTGATCCATTTAGCCCTAGCCATGAATACCAAAGTTGTTCATAATGATACTCTAAACATGCTTAAGCTATTTGCAACGTCACACAATCATTTACATGTATTCACTCATGATCATATGCTTATATTCTAAGAAACATGAAATAACAAGCAATGTTGCATATGTTTCAATCTCATGTTTCAATTGTAAATGCTCATATATGAATGCTCGATGCTCATGCTCATGCTATGCAAGTCAATTTATGCAAGGCTAACACCTAGGGTGTTATAGCAGGCGAGGGCGAGATTGTCCTCTTGCTAGCTGAGGTCAGTGAACGGACACCTCCCGTCAGCCGGCGCGCCACCACAGGGATCGACCACCACCACAACGTGGTAGATAATCATGTTCGGTTGTTTTGCATGAAGGAAAATCATAACCTCTTGATGAGAATAATTTCTTATTTGATTTGATTTGATTGATTGATAGTAGTTTCCTTTTGCATGCAAGAAAGTTATATCACAACATGCGTGATGGTCGCGCGAGGGAGCACTTCCTTTTGCATGGAAGGAAACTGCCATGATTGCCACCGCACGCGGGTCTCATGCAAGGAAAATCAACAACTGTCGTGATTGTCGCACAGAAGTGGGATCGATCACATGGGGTGGCAGACGAACGAAACAAGGCAATTGTCGTACCAAAACGATGTCCACACTTTGTTCTTTTTAGTTGTAGGAGATTAGCAGGTTTAGAATTAATGATGGGTGCTTATAATTTATGTTTACATTCTCACTATCCAACCATCTATCAGTGAGTGGATCCAAATAGCCCCACTAAAAAATATCTAGCTAGTGCCGATAGATCCAAACAGACCCTTATCTACCTAGTTATCTATCCAAATAATAGTTAGTTGCTAAAAAATAATTAGAATATATTTAAATTAAAAGGACCTGGTTAATAGGATAGCTAATTGATAGCTAGACACTCATGACTATTTGGATCTACTAGTGCTAATAGTTGGCAGCTAAAATTAATACTAGTGAATCCAAATCAACCTTCTAAGACCAAATAATTATTAGCTAGAAAGCTACTAAATATTAGTTTTAATGGCAGGTTTAGGGCTGCTAATAGTTACTTCCTCCGTTCGCTTTGACCTTTTTGGCATCTAGACCATAAGTTGTTTTGCAACAGACTAAGTTTTTACAATAAGTTGTTTTGCAACGGACTTAGTTTCCGTGTAATACACCATACTGCAATGAAATTAGGTTTGATGCAATATAGGCAATTGCAACTGATTCAAATGCGTTGCTATACATGATGCTGAAACCTAATTAAGTTCGATGCAATATAAAGTGTTGCAACTAATTCGTATGCGTTACAATACACCATACTGCAACGGAATTAGGTTCAGAATTCTTATTGTAAAAACTTAATCTGCTGCAAAACAACTTGTTGCACTAAACTTATTTTGGTGGTATTTAGATCACTAGTCTAAGGACCAAAGTTTAGCTCCTAAAGTTTAGTGCTGGGCTATTTGGATCCATGGACTAAACTTCGGTCCTCTAATCTACCAATGACTGATTTACACTCATTTAATTATCCATGTGCAGCCATGCATGCGAGCGGTAAGAGGTATGGGACGTCCAGCGCCCGCACCGAGAGAGTTTAGCACAATTTAGGGTCTCTTTGGGAGCAAAACATTTTAGTCAAGTTTTTAACCATTTGCTCACTTTTAACCTCCTGTTTGGATCCCCATGGCTAAAAAAAAAAGGACTAAAAGTGTAGGGCTAAAGTTTTATCGTAGGATCCGAGCGGAGCCTTTTTGCAACATGACATATTGCCTCTTCTCCGTCCAAATGGGACTGTCACTCCCACTGCACCGGTTTTCTCCTTCCTGCATTTTTTTATTATAAATAACTCTCTAAACAGTGATCTAGAGAGTTAGATTAATAAAGACTTTTTTTTAAAACAATATAAAGACTCTCAAAGACGCTGCTTTTGCCCATTTTGACGCACTATCACCGCAAGCTACCAAAGGCGAGCGGGGACCATGCACCGTCCTCCAGCGTTTGCCGCGGGGATTTTACTCGGTCCGGACCATGCCGAGACCCAATCGCCAGTCGCCTGGCCCTGCATCAGCCATCAGACAGATCGTCAGAATACAGGCCGGCCGAGCTCGTGCTGGGTTGCTCCATCCTTCCTAATCCTACGTGCTCGACGCCACAGCTCTGGACTGGACCACATCACAGCCACAGCCCTGCGCTGCCCTGCTGCCGTCGTCTTGCAGCAGTGAACGCCACCCCGGGACAAGGCTCTGCAGATGATAAACCGCACCACAGGGCAATGGCAAGCACGGGAAGGATAAACCGCACCACAGGGCCAGGACAGGCGTCGACAAGTCCCAATCATACACGCTGCCAGTTCTTCATTCTGGGCTGCCCCTGCACACACCGTTCAGCAGTGGATCCATGATCCATTGATCCGTGTGGCCGGAAACAGGCATACAGCACGTATGTTTTGTCCTGTTGCAGAGTGCATTGTACTGCAAAGGTTGCAGACTCGCAGTGGAATATCACACTAAAGCAACAAGGGCAAACAGATGCTGCAAGCATGCCAAGAGCTAGCAATTTCCAACAAAATGTTTCACTAATCAATTTCATAGCCAAAAACTCGATTACCGTAATCGGTTTGTCCAGTAAGGCGAGTGATAATCTAGCTGAGGGGGTCACACTGGCATTGTACAGACAGGGTCATGTTCGTGATGATGAAAACATGGGCTCCGAACGTCTGTTGGCCCCGTGGGTTTGCTTAGAACATCGCCGACGTGACCTCAGCAACTTCAGACATGACCTGGTCGTAGTCCATCTTGAGTTTCTCCATGACCTCGCCCTCGAGCTCCCCCTTGGCTGGCTTCGTCAGCACCAGCACGCAACAGGTAGGCCTTTTGGTGGTGCCAGCAGTTGCAAGATCCTGACGCCAACAGGAGGGAAATAGCATCAGTATATGTACTGTGTACCTCGACCGGCATTTTTGTGCTGATCAGAACTACAGAATGAAATGGCAACATTAGACCAACAATTGCTATACCTGTAGTAAAAGCAAAATTAGACCATTACTTGCTATACTGTTTAGTTTTGCTCTCTTGTTTTTTTAGTGAATCTAGTACAATAAGTTGATACATCACATATACTATAAAAAAAATAAAAGCTTCACTGCGAGGTGGACTGGAGCATTATTGATATAGTAAATTTCTCAGATGGTCATTTCCCAAAACATACACTCATTATCTGAGCTTTGGGTATAAGGTAAACATGTATTGAAGGAAAATGTAAGCTACACCACCCTGAAAATGTTGTCAAAGACATGGATACGTAATTTCCAAGCATTCTTCACCGAAACAGTTCCAGCCAGTCAAAAATTTGACATACACAAAAAAAGACTGCTAGAAACAGCATGGATAAATAATTGGATTATATGCCAGAAGAGAGGTCGAACAAAATACAACCTTTCAAAGTCAAACAGTAATGAGATGCACAATAAAGAATCATTCCAAACCAAGAAAATAAGTGATCGTCGTCGGTGAGAAAATTCGATGCTACGGGCATCAGATGAAAGGATGCCCTTTCATATAGTAGTTGATTTCAACAAAGTCTCCACTCCCGATTGTTACCACGTTTGGCATCAATCAAATGGTCAACAATTCATGCAAACCATAATAAGTCAATGAAATCATTAGATTCTATAATGGTAGATGCCATTAGTTCATGGCCCTGTAAGACTATGATCAGCACTAGTGGAGAAAAATCTTTATGAAAATAAAAGGGCAGGTATCAGCAAGGTGGACAAGGACGTCTGAGGTATGCACTCTCTTAATTAGCTGCAAACACAACCAAATTAATCAAGGTGTGTGAGTGGACAACTAGCTGGATGCTCTTTCATCCCTACACTTTCACAAAACAAACTTCTACTTGCCATTCAGTTTTGATGCCTAGAACTAAATGGGGATAAAAAATCATGAAGGGAAGAAACATGAGTTGTCTCCAAGCTAAGTCTAGTTCCTGTCGAACACGAACTAAAATATACATGTAATATTGGTGATATCTTCATCACCCACTCAATTTTCAACAAGTGAAAGATCAATCAAACAATACAAACCACTTATTTCTACTTTTACACAGCCTGTTCTACTTAGTTTAACGATATACACCCTCCATTCCAAATTATTAGACGTTTTGGCTTTTCTAGATCGTAGCTTTTGCTATGCACTTAGACATACACCATGTCTAGATACATAGTAAAAGCAATGAATCTAGAAAAGTCAAAACGTCTTATAATTTGGAACGGAGGGAGTATATGCAGCGTACAACACTGTGATTGCCACATCCTGGCAGGGTGCATCATAACAACCTATTTTTCTTGCTCAAAACAAACACAAGGATCTAAAGCTGAAAATTGCAGCTTCAGTGCAGCATATGCATACCTCTTTTGAAGGAACATATACATAAGGAATATTGGCTTCTTCACAGACTATCGGAAGATGAGTTATTACATCGATTGGAGAAATGTTGCCAGCAATCACACAGAGTCTACAAGGGCCAAAGCAAAACACAGGAGTTAATGAAAACACCAAAAATCAAGTAGCATAAATCATTGAGAGAAGGAATTTGAGGAAACAACGTGTCAACACACACCAATAATTTGCTTATAAATGCATTCAAGGCAGAGTGGTAAATTGTTCCCTTCAAGAAGAGTTAAGTTGATAAACAAAACACCAGCTTAGAATTGGAAGGTAAAGGGACTAAGTCCTAGTAAATCTAGCATTAGCCAGGTAACACAGCTACAGCACAGATTGGGCTAACTACTCGGTGAACTCGCCAACTAGGGAAACAGCTTCCCTGATTAACTATACAGTACAGCTGAAGAGATACTATGCTTGGATACTAACAAACTAGTATTTGCAGTAAATGATACAGGATAATTTTTGCACATAAGAGGATAATTTACAAAGTTGACAACATACTTTAAGATCAACATAACAATTATTTCAGAAAGCTTGTGTACTTGATTAGATTTAACAAGAGAAATCTTAGGTAATTCCCAAAGTAGATTTAGCCCAGGTAAAAATGTGCTGGTTGCTATAAATTTCTCTTCTTCTTCTTTTTTTTCTGCGCATCAACTACAGAGCATACAAGTATCCTGGTCGTGGACAGACCCAATGCTGTGGAATATGGGTTGGGTCAGAACATTGACAACGGGCCTACTACCCTATGTACTGTCTAATCGCTACTAGGGGGTGATCGGTTGAGTACTGGTTACTAAGTTTCAAAACCCCGCTGGGCACTTGGGCTAATTCGAAACTGAGATGCCATATGGACCCAATGACTGGGTGGGTTCACACGGCACTATAACAGATTCCAGCCCAAACTAGTGCTAACAGTGGAACGCTGGTTTTAACTCGTAGAAACTAATACCACTCCCAAACTCCAGAGTCCAGACCAAAGTTGAGTGAGTAGGAGACAGAAGCCTTTCATAGGTTCCTATACCAGCCCAAATCTGTGGGCATAATGTCTCCAATTCCTACTCAAAAACTGTGTTGTCCTGTACTCCATCTAAATTTATTGAACAACAAAATTTAACTAAGTCACACCAAATACTGATTGCAGGGCATCTGTCACCTCTCATTCATGCCAATGCATCTTCCAACTGTTGGATTATCTTAACAGTAGAATGGATCGCTCAACTAACAAACAAACATGTTAACTAGCATAAGCTGACCTCGCTAGGAGTCTGCACAAGACCTCAGGAGACTGACAGGTAGGCCTAACGCAAAGAAACATCATAGTTGAATGCTTGTGGAAAGTCCCATTTGACTGTCAATGCTAGTAGGAAGGTTTTAGAAATTCCAACCTGTTTAATGTTTCCTAGTTGGAAGCTACTTATAAATCACAGTGGAAAATCGAGATCGGAGTTTTTGAATGTTGCAGTTAAAATACAACTTATTTCTTGGAGTCAAAGTTGGTTATTGTTTTTTAACATAATAAATAAAAGGGAGGAGCGATGCTGGCTTCCATTTCATACTGCAAATGGATGAACAACCAATGCAGGAACAGAGTAGAGCGGTATAAATTACGAACCCCTTGTTTCCCCGCCGAATACTCTTGACGACCTCCTTGACTCCTCGCTTCAAGCATTTGGCCTCAGAGGCTGCAAACAAAAATTGAAATAATCGTATATAAACATGGGAGATCATCATAAACGCAACGGCGAATGGGGTATAGCAATCTTCCAGACCTCGGCGGACGAGCTTGAGGGTTCGCTTGCAGAGCTTCTTGCCGGCGAGCGGCTTCGCGATGGGCGCCAGGGCCACCGGCGCCCTCTTTTTCTCGGCCTCCGTGTCGCTGCCCATCCCACGACTGCGGTTTCGTCCTCCTCGCTGCCGCCGCCGCCGTCGACCTGTGAGTTCGTGCGCTTTGATTGGAACGGCGGCTAGGGTTTTGGGGGCAGGGTTTATGCGCCGCGGCCACTGCCTGTCGCTGGTTTGTGGGGTCGGTGGTCGATAAGTCGCCTTGTCATAGAAAGGCGCAGTTTGGGCAGTTGACAGAGGGTGTTTCTGACCTAGGCCAGTTTAAATGCAGTGCGTAAGTTTTTGGAGGTCACGTCGGGTGTTATATGACGTGTCGTATAGGATGTTTGGATACTAATGAAAAATAAATTACAGAATCCGTTAGTAATCTTCTAGACGAATTTATTAAGCCTAATTAATCTGTCATTAGCACATGTGTGTACTGTAGCACTATATTGTCAAATCATGGACTAATTAGGCTTAAAAGATTCGTCTCGTAAATTAGTCGTAAACTGTGCAATTAGTTATTTTTTAGTTTATATTTAATACTCTATGCATGTGTCAAAACATTTGATGGAATATGGAGTAAACTTTAGGGAGAAAAACTAAACGAGGCCTTGTTACCTTCCCATGTTCCTTTATTTTTGAGTTAAATATGAGATCCGTTACTTGTACCGAAGTTGATTTTCAGCCTAAATAAATTTTTGAAATAGTTCACCATGAGTCCATATCACTTTGTTTGACCCTTAGATTAAACTTTCAGGTGCATATAAACTTTTTAAGCGGTTCCATATCCTTTTGATTGGCTCTTAGATTTGCGTGGGATGTAGAAACAATAGCCAACACGGCATGAAATTTGTAGAGCTCATGTTTATCCACCGACCGTGTTGTCCTCCTCTTCACTCCCTCGAGCCTAGCATTTGTGCCTCTACTCTATTATGTTTTCCATTGATGTAGGCAGTGGCGGAGCGTGAATCAAAGTTAAGGAGGGGCCAATTATACTGTAGCATCCTTGAACTACCACTTGAGAGCAGCTAGTTGTTCTGCTGCAAGTGTATTATTTATTATTGGTACGGATATATTCATATTATTACTACTGCATCTCTACTATTGTATGGCTCACTTGCTTGCTCGGACAGTCCTGCTGCTTTGCACTAGCTAGCATGGCGAAGCTTGCACGTCCGCAGCATATATCCTCATTTTTTTTACGGGGCAAGGGGGGCCGGAGCCCTCTATGGCCAATACATGGCTCCGCCGGTGGATGTAGGTCATCACTGCTTCAATGAGTGTACGGTTGAGTCCGCCGCGGTCCCCTCATCCCCGAGCTTACGCATTCGGGGGCAAGTCTATGTCGAACCCGTCGTTTTTGTGGTCGTCTTCTACCTTTTGCCCGTCATCAATCGCTGGACAAGCACGCTCGTGGCTGATGGCCTCCACCGGATAAATTTAAACCATCCTCTGTGCACGGGTGAGTGGTGAAGCTCGCGGTCCCATGCATTGTAGCCGGCAAGTGCTCCCTTGGCCTAATCGGCCCTTCCCCAGGCTTATGTTGATTCGGGGTCACGTCTCCGCAGAGTGCCCCTGCAACTCAAACTCCATGAAGAACGTTACTGCTAGATAATGGTATGTAATGCATTTCAGATGTTAAAGTCATTGCTGCCGGAGCACCACGCGTCACTGCTAGCTCATGGGACACGCATTGCTGTTTGGTTAGCTGGTTCGTGAAGAAGTACTGCTGACTGGTTTGTGTGAGAAAAAAATACTATTCTAACTGAAAATTTACGATCGTTTATGATAAGCCACAGCCAAACGAACAAGCTGTTGACCATGCCAGGATAAACTGTGGCACCGCGGCAACAAAAAGTTAGTATTGCACGAGGCAAAGGGTCGGTCAACGGGTACCTAGTCCAACTGCCACAACCTCGTGGCCTTTCGGGGTCAGTAAAGAAAAATTAGTCTATGATCTTCTAATTAACATCTAAACGTAGTGCTAATTTTTAATACTAAAGACCAAACAAGCCTTAAAACAAATGGAACTAGCTCTGTCTCTGTGCTTTAACTATCCAGATTCCAGAACAGTCCGGAGGGCCTATGCCAAATTTAATATTATTATTAGGCTATAAACTTATCTACAAGCTATAATATATGTTAATACACATATTACTTGAAATCTTTCTTTTCTTTATACCAAACATGTCTTAAAATAGCATTTAACCTTTATTTAAAAAAAATTGTTCACTGACTAGTTATTAATCTTTTCAGGACCATTTTTACTGAAACTGTCGATTGTTTTGGAAATCACCGCATCCTGATAAGTCATAAACCAACTATATCAATTTAAAATACATTGTTTTATTATTACTATTTGGTGGTTAAAGTTCAACCTATTGTGTAGTATTTTTTTTTAAATCACTGCAATTTAAAACGAACTCAAATCACAAACTCAACGAGCACGTAGATAAGGTGGGAACCGATGAAGCAACTTTTATGGCCTCATTAGTATGACTTCTGTGGCAACTGTAGCAAGAACCAAAACACAATAAACCCTCTAAAACGAGGCCTAAAAGTGACCAGAGAGGACGAGTTGCTACATGGTTTCTGAAAGCATCTATGTCTCTAGTGGATTTTGGTGATTAATGACGATATAAAATTATTGTGACCAAGGTGTGTTTTGCAAAGGTAAATTGAGTTAGGTCACGATAATGGCGATTAATTTGGGCAATATGGTTTTCATGCCCCTACTGATGGTATTCAATTTCGGTTTTCAAAGGACGAGTGCGAAGATTAAGGATTGGCTAGTTCTAAATGTCAGTGGTGTTGAGGGACATTTAGATTAGTTGTATGGGTTTTTGTTTTTCTTTTGGCCGTGCTATAAAGGGGTATGGATGGATAGCTGTGACCTAAGTAAGTCTAGTGAGTATAAGTGGTGCACACTTGTGAAATCCAGTACTAGATAGCTCATGGAGAAGCCAAGATATATTAGAAACGAAAACCAACTCAAAGTTAGTTTGAAATGGACGAGTTGGTGCCGTTGCAGGTGCACCGGCCATGTTGGTGCACACCGGCCATGGAGCACCGGATATGGGACATAGAACGTCTGCAGGTTGCTCCTTGAGGCCGTGTATGTTAGTTGATCTCCACCAATAGGCCCAACGGTCTATTAGGCCCTTGCCTCTGCGCCCTGATCGGGAGCGCCCAACCCTAATAGGTTGGTGGGCCCCTGTCGCACAGCACATATAAAGATAGGTGGGGATCACGGCTCGAGTCACGAGGTTGGTCTGAGCCGCCATGATCCCACCGATAGAAACCCTAATCCGATCTACAGTGTGCTGCCAACGACGGGATGCCCCACCACACCGCCGTCGCCTCTGCAGGGTTTCCACTGGTCCACTGGATCGCCACCTCGCCTCCTCACCATCGTGCCGAGCACCGGCGTCCGCGAGGCGACATCCAGGGTGAACTTGGCGTCTACGTTGCTGCGACCCAACTACGCTAAGGCGAGGAGCCTTACCCGGATCTATGGTTACACAAAAAGGTACACAACGATCCTAACAATGGTATCGGAGTCAGGTTGCTAGTGTGTAACCCTAACCCTAACCGGGTAAAAGCAAAGAGAAAAGGGACCGGGGGTGGCGGACGTCACTGAACCCCGGTCACCACCGCCACCGCGCGGGGAAAAGATGCCGCACCACCGTTCTCACCGGCGCACGGCAAGAACAGAACAGATCTAGTTCGGATCTGAGGAAAGGAGTAAAAGGAAAGAAGAACAGTGGTTCCCCAACCCTAACCCTAACTGGGTGAAGGGGAAGAACAACAGTGAACCCGATTCGGATGAACTAACCCATCCTCATCCCAATCGGAATCAAAACCGTGAAAAGAAATCAAAAGAAAAGGTTCAACCGAACCCTAACCCTAACTCGCATGAAGAAGGGGAAGGGAAGCGATTCGGATGAACTCCAAAAAGAAAAGTGCAAATCCCAAATCCCAAAACCCTAACCCTAGTACCCCAATCGGTTGAATCCGTAGAAAGAAGCAGATTCAAAAGAAAAGAAGGGGAAGAGGGGAAGGGGATAATCTCGTAGATCTCGAATCAAACCAAAAGAAAACCCGAATCAGAGATCTCGAATCAAACCGAAAGAAAACACGAATAGGGTTCAACCGAACCCTAACCCTAACTCGCATGAAGAAGGGGAAGAGAAAGATTTGGTATAAATAGAAAAGAACCGATCAAAAGAAGATCCAAACCCTAATTCCCCACACCAGTTCAGAAAAGAGAAGAATAACTCAAATCCGAAGGGGAAGAAGAAAAGGAAGAGAATTGAAAGAGACATCGTCGTGCACCGGGCGAACCCTTCGCCGGCGCGGGAGAAGAGGGCCGAGCCGGGGGGGCAGATGTTTCTGCTGGGCTCGCCCAAGGGGGCGCCGCGGCCAAGGCCGCTCGATGGCGGCGAGCACCCGCGCCGGCTAGGGGGCCGGCGATGGCGCCATGGTTGCCGCTCACTCGCTGCGTCCACCATTTCATTGCTCGTCTCACTTAGTCGCTGCTGGTTGTGCTGAGGTAGAGAGAGGAGAGAGCGGCGAAGAAGAGAGAGAAGCAGAGAGTGCGAATGGCCTAGGGTTTCCGATCGGAGGCCGCGGCCGTGGTTTTGTTCGCGCGAAATCAATGCGCAGCCGTTGATCTCCATTGGACGGCCGAGATTGAACGGGCCAGCGATGCGGCCTAGGCGGGCGTGCGCAACCGAGCGGCTTTGCCGGCCCAGGCCCCGGTTGCGGCCTGGGTGTGGTCGGGCGTCGCGCAAGGCAGATGGTGAAAGGTCCTAATGGCTAGAGGGGGGGTGAATAGCCTAATAAAATTTCTACAACAACACTTAACAAAAGGATTAGACAATTATAAGGCGAAGCGAGTTTTGCGCTAGCCTACCAAAATGTAAGCCACCTACCACAATTCTAGTTTAGATGGAGTATATCCACACAATAGCTATATCACCACACCAAGTTAGTGTGCTCTCAAAGCTAACTAAAGAGCCACACTAACCAAACTAACAAGCTCTCACAACTAGTTA